AGGAGTTAACGGGGACCAGAGATGAGGGCAAGGGGGCATCGAGGAAGGGGCCGGGGCGTCGTCTGCCGGGCTGCCTGGCTCTGCCCCACGGGGGAGACGGGTCAGCCCTGCTCGGCCGTTGCGCTGGCCTGGGGGCTCCTGGTCGCCCTGTCTCAGCTGGATCCAGTGGCCGGTGCCAACCTGACCCTTGCCGTAGTCTTACCGCGGCACAATACGACTTACCCATGGGCCTGGCCGCGGGTAGGTCCGGGCATCGAGCTGGCCATCCAGAAGGTCAACGCCCAGCCTGACCTGCTGCCCGGCTACACAGTGCAGAAGGTGTTTGGCACCAGCGAGAACAGCCAGGGGGTCTGCTCCGACATCATGGCCCCGCTCTCGGCCGTGGACCTGAAGATGGGTTACAACCCGGACGCTTTCGTCGGCCCTGGCTGCGTCTACACCACGGCCCCCGTGGCTCGGTACACCCGGCACTGGGGGCTTCCCCTGGTGACCGCTGCGGCCGAGGCCATCGGTTTCGGCATCAAGGACAACGAATTCGCCCTGGTCACCCGCACCGGTGCCAGCCACAGCAAACTGGGTGAGTTTGGCATCAGCCTCAGCAGATATTTCAACTGGACCAGCCGCGCCATGCTGCTCTACTGGGATAAAGCCATGGACGACCGCCCCTGCTTTTTCGCCGTGGAGGGGCTCTACATGCAACTCCCTTCACTGCACAACATGACCATCGAAGACGTCCCCCTCACGTCCACCAATTACGCGGCTTTGATCCAGGACATCAAGCAGAAAGCTCGCAGTAAGTCTCCCGCCCTCGGACGTCCCTCGAGGCTTCACGTCGGTGGAGGAGGAGGATGAATAGGGGCCCCTTCTCCTCTCTGAGATGGGGGGCAGGAAAAGCACTCTGGGTGTTCTCAGGAGCACCGTCTCCAGGGCTGGGGAGTCCCTGCAGGACTGGCGCCCCGTTCTGGAGAAGAGCCATCCTCATCTGCGTCGGGTTGGGACCTCGAAGGTCCCACGTCTTCCTTTGACCCAGAAGCCTGGTTGCAAAGCCGGGGCCATGCCGGGGAGGGATGAAGCCTACCCAAATGAGCACAGGGAGGAAGTTCGCCGCCGTGGGTGGGTTTGAACCCCTGGGTTAATTCTGGTGGAGAGACCACAGACCACGTTTCTTTCCCTGTGGGGGGTTGTTGCTCGACCCCTGGGTGCAGCCCACATCCCCAACCCTCCCTGTCCCCCGTTTGGTGGCATGCCAGCCTGTAGGATTTCCACCCGTTCTAGTCCCCTATCCTAAAGTCCCCCTTTCCTATCCCAGCTGGTTGGAAGTCAAGCAACCTGACAAGGAGAGCAGGGCTGGCATTTGAGCGCGGGTGCCATGCCAGGCTCCCGGAGGGATAAGCCTTTCATTCCTTACTTGGGGGCTTGCAGAAGGCGAAGTCGGTGGGATTAAACTCGCCCTGAGCCTGCAATGAATTGCAAGAGGAAGACGAGATCGTTGAAAGAGGGTGGCTTGGATATTTTGGGGGGTCTTCTTCGGGGCTTCACCTCAAGTCTGTTTCCTGGGCCTCTTTAGCATGCTAAATGAAGGGAAATTGGGGGGGGTGCCTCTGAGCATGCGCAGAGAGCTTTTCCTTCCTGCCCCCTTCACCGTTAAGCAACCAGCGGCATGCAAAGGCTTTTTCTGCTTGTTATCTCCAAATTGGGGAGTTAAAGCTGAAGGCCCTGACCTTTCGTGTGGCTTTTTATTGGGTGGGGGGTTATTGGAGTAAATGCTTCATGAGGGCAGGGGGGCAGACTTGCGCTGCAGAAGGTTTCTGAGCAAAGGGTCTTTGGGCCAATTGCTGGTTTAGGCACTGGTGCCCAGCCCCCTCCTGCGTGATCCCCAACTTTGGGTGCCTTTGTTGAACGGAAATGCGACGGGGTGGGAGGAAAATGGACCTTTTTGGTTCCCTGCACATCTTCTTTCTGCTTTGGCCCCACCCACTTCCCCTGAGCCCCGCCCACCCAGGGTCCCGAACATCTTGCGAGACCCTTGAATGAAAACGGGCTGAAGAACCGTTGCTGCCGAGAAATGGCGCGGGGAGAATTTTGCTGCGCGGCGTAGAAACGTCTCCACCTTTTCCTGACCGGCGGGAGCAGTCTGCACAGCCCCCTAAAATCCATTGCAGCCTTGCCACGACCCTGCGAGGTGGGCCGATGCAATTGAATCGCCCTGGGTCGCCGAGAGCGGTGGGGGAGGGGGATGAGGGTGGGAATAGAGGCCAAAAAGGAGGAATAATCCCATTTCAGCCGAGGTGACCTTTGGAAGCTTTTGTGGAAATCCTCCCTAATCCCCAGTCAGAACCGAGCAAATCCTCCGTTATCGCAGAGAAAAAGCAGAGAAAAACTCGCCTCTGACCAGATGCAGAGCAGAGGTGAGATTTGAACCCGTGCTGGCGCACGGCTGCTTCAGTGGTGGGTGCGAGGTAGCCGAAGATCTGGACTTTGGAAAATGTATAGAAATCCACCCCCTCCCGGGCCAGGGATTTCCAAAACAGAGGAGGAAAAACGAAAAATGGCAAGGGTCTTTTGCACATGCTCAGGAAACAGCGGCACGTCCCCCCCTTCCCCCTCGAACTTGTTTGCTTAGCCGGGTGTGAGCGTTGTTGCTGTCTACGCGGTTGTTATTTCGGGCTCTGTCTCACAGGAATGTTCCCAGACATTCAACGCCCCCCCCGCCCCAAAAGATTTACAAAACCAGTAAATCTAACTTGAGGGATAACATACAGAACCGGATTAACGCGCTGGATATTTTTGCAAAATCTCCCTCTCTGTCTATATTGCAATTCGCCTCTCCTCCCTAGCAGACGTGGGCCTGTAAAGCTGGCGGGGGATCCTCGTGGCACAAAAACCCTGGAAATAAACGCAAGTCCATTTATTAGCTGAGCAACTGACAGTCTTGGCCCCAAGGCGTTTACAATCTCGCCATCTGTTCGGGCCGATCCGAGCAGACCCGACGTTGCGATGGAACCGTCCCAGCCGAGAAACGCTTGCTTTAAAAAATGCACGGAATAGGCGTAGAAATAAAACGACGACGGATCGATTGCTTTGCGGCGGCTGAGTCTGCGGCTAAACCGTCTGAGAGCCCCTCTGGACCTTTGCGGTGTTTTCTTGAACCCCGGCGGACGATTCTGCTCCGTTTGGCCCGGGCCGACGGTAGCTCAACGCTTTTCCTTGCCCCGCTGGAGGGGCCCTTCCTTTGCACGGTTGCACAACTGAGTAGGGGAATTGGGGGTGTGCGCCTGGGTGTGCAGGCGTCCCCGTGCATCAAGGTCCCCTCCCTTGTGTACTTTGCATTTAGCTGTTTCCTGCTGATGTTAAAAGTTGGGCGATAAGGGATTGTCTCGGAATAGGAGACTAGAAGGGGAGGGTCCCTCAAGGTCACCTGTCCCAACCCGCTATTCACTGCAAGATGCAGTGACCAGTGGTTACCCGGCTTCGGTTTCCTGATTTCTGACGACGGAGGGTTCGCTGTCTCTCGAGAAACATCTTCCCTGCCGTGGAACAGCTGACGTATCTCGCAACATTCAGCCAAAATCCAACACGGGTTGCAACATTCGCGCCTTGGCCGAGCGAATCTGTTGTCCTGCTTTGTGTAACGGTTCTTCAGAGACCGGACGCAGACGGTCGTACCTTCCCAAAAACCGTCCCTCGGTTTCCATCATTCCTCGTACGGCTGAAGTTTCTGGCAGGTTATCAATGATTTATTTGCTTAGGAGAGTAATAACCGCCCCGATCTGTTACGATCTGGCGCAGCTGACAAAGCGCGGCCATAAAGACGAGGAGTATTTTTGGGGAAAGTCGGGAAAAATCAACGCTCGCTTAAAAAGCCCGAATAAAGGGTCCACCGCCCATCCTAACCCAAAGTCCTTATTTTATTATTTGGCTGCTGTTGTTTTGTTTTATTTTGGATAAAGCCAGCTTTTAAGGGCGCCTTTGAATAAGGCTAAGTGGGAGCTACACAGATCTGAGGCAGAATAGCGATCAAACCGTTCACGAATTTCTTTTTAAAAAGAGAAGAAAATCAGCGTGTCTCAGCCGCTGTTGCAAACGGGTACGGAAAGGTAGGCCCTGGGTGCAGGTGACAAGGGGTCTAGTGTTTTCCCAGGGCGACGTGTGTCAGATCGCACCCTCCGAGCGTGCCAGAACATGTGTGCATATTGGCACACAGTTGCACGAAAGAGGAGATTCAACGGTCGCAGCAGATGCCCTGATCTGGTCCCCTCTGGCTGTGTTGGTCTCCAATTAACACGGAGTGGGAAAGCAAGGTGGTTGATCTGCATTAGAGCGTCCACTTTGCCCACCAGAGATTCCCGTGGGATCCCCTCCGGTTTGAGGAAGTCATCAGGCTGGGAAGGCAGCTTTGAAAGAGCCTAAGATTTAACCAACATTTGGAGTTGTGTGTGTGTGTATGTGTGCCAGTGACAGAGCAGAAAATGCATTTTTTTTAAAGGCTGAAGTGTGCTTCTTGGACAGGGAGAGAGCCAAGCCCCAAACGGTCAGCCTCAGCCGTGGCCCTCCACTTTTCCTCCCTGTCTTGCAAGTCAGCAAAACAGGAAAAAGCCGGCTGGGGGGGACACGTATGCTGCAACCCCACCCGGCGGACAGAACGTGTCCCTTGACCTCGGTTGCCGGTGGCGGGAAGGACGCTCAGCAGGAAAATAACAGGATGTCCCTCGGCTGGAGGCCCAGCAGAGAGCGAGTGGCTGAGAAGGAGGGAAGGAGGACGAAAATCCAGCCTGCCTTGCTCTGCCAGGCGCGCAACGGGCACACGGGGATGCCCGCCTCTCCCGCCTCCTCGCCTGGGCAATGCTCCGGCACCTCGTCCTCTGTTTCTGGGGACGGCAGCGATGCCAGCAGCGGGGACAGTCCCAAGGCTGGCAAGGATGTGTCAAACCGAGATGGGCTGCCCTGCCCAGCATCCGGTTCCCAAGGGTGGTCAGCTGGACGTTTCCGGGGTGCAAGGCCCAGACGTGTCCGATTCTCTCGGCTCTTTCTCCTCCTGGATTCTGCAGGAGGCCCTGGGTTCAAGGGGGAGGATGGAGAACTTGATTGCGGGGGGTTCTGGTGGCAGAGAGTCCTGGGGGAAATTCCTCCCCGTACAAATAAGCTTTGGGCCCCTTCTGTGGGTCAGTTTCACCAAGTAGCTCCAGAGAGGCCCAACTGATTGCCTCTCCGCCCCAAATCTGAATTGGGTTTTTTTTGGGGGGAGGATTAAAACGCACTCCCCTTTTCCGTTTGGATCCAGAAGGGGTAATCCGTTGGACCGACCCTTAAGGGTTGTTTCTTCCTCCAGGGTTAACGGCGCCCCTTTAAAAGAGGAGAGGGTCTCCTTTTGCTGAAATATGTTTTGAGTCCTGTTTTATTTCTCATTTTTTCTTGCGGCAAAACTGCTTGTCGAAGCAAAACGGAGCTCGTTAGAATGTCTTTCTTGGCCTCCGCAGCGCTTCTCCTCCTCCGCTTCGCAGCAGGGCAGGCCCGGTTCTGCCCAGCGTTCTGCCAAGGAGGAGGTCGGCACTGACGGGGCGAGGGCAGGTTGCTAGGTTTTTATCATGCTTGGCTGCTCGGCCTCCCCATGGATTATTCCTTAGAAATAATCAACCAGAGGTATTTGTCGAGGGTGATGGGCTCAGGAGAAGGGAAGAGAAACGGGGGAGAGGTCTTGCGATGGACCCGTCCGACTGGTCGCTTGCAGCTCGTTTCTCCTCGCCATAGGTGAGCGGCAGAAGAGCTGGGCGGCCTAGATGGGTTCCTCCCAGCAAGATCTCCCCAAAACCTCTGAAGGGGTCCATTCCTTTTCTAAATAAATTAGATGTGAAAGCACTCTGTCTCCTTTTACCGGGAAAGTTTTAATTTAGAGCATCTAGGACAGTGTTTTTCAAGCTTGGCAACTTTAAGAGGGGTGGACTTCAACTCCCAGAATTCCCCAGCCAGCATGCTGGCTGGGGAATTCTGGGAGTTGAAGTCCACCCCTCTTAAAGCATGCTGGCTGGGGAATCCTGAGAGTTGAAGTCCACCCCTCTTAAAATTGCCAAGTTTGGAAAACACTGATCCAGGAGAATGAGTGGCAGTTTTTGCCCAAGGCAGCATTCTGCGGACATGTCTGAGATTAGATCGGGGACTCACGCAGAGATGAAATAGGGCAGTGTCCTGTTCGGTGAAGGTACCTGGTTGAAACTGAGCACCACATGATTGCACATGATCGCAGAGAAGAGCAGGGATCTGCTTTAGATAAGGTCTGCATCTCTCGTTGGCACTTGGATTCTCCCAAATGGAGACCTGACACCGTAATGGTTCGGCACGCACCGTTGCCACCTTACTCCCTGAGCGATTGAACCGGGACTCATGCAGAGAAGTGGCTTTGCCTCTTCCAGCAAGAGTTACTCTCCTGGGCATCTCTGCTCTGATGGGATCCTCCTGCAGAAAGGGGTCGGTGCTGCTGGTGCCGTTCAGCCCGCCGATTCTAGAAAGCAGAGCAGGGAGGGTGTTAGGGAATCGGCTCTTGGATCGCAGGAATGGTTTTCCTTCCGTTTCTGGGGGCACCCAGGTGGCCGGCTGACATCCGCCTCCCTTCGCTCGCCTCTCGGCTGGGACAGGCAGGCGGGAAAGGGGCGCTTGGACGCCTCGCTTGGGTTTGCAAGAGGCTGCGGGTGGTGAACACGGCCAGGGAAGGGGGCCCAGGCCACGCCGAACCCATTTCGCAATTTGGCGGCAGAGTGGGGCGTAGGGAGCCTAGCTTTGCAGGGAGAGGAGGGGAGAGGCTGCGGTACTCCGTTCCAACTTGGAAGCGAAGGGAGAAGCGTGCGGGCAGCGCCCGGGGGCTTGAACGTGCAGGACGGGGGAAGAGAGAAAGCCACGCGTCACGTTTGCTCCCTTTCGGCACAGGTTCTTGCCTTTAGAGACCCGCGTGGGGGCCCTGGCAGAGAGCGGAGTGATAGCCACGATGCTTCCTCGGGGAGGCACCGGGTCTCTGCCCCCAGAGCTTCCAGATTTCCAAGCAGGGGCGCAAACTGGGCTCCAGGGCACGGCTTTGGTTTGAACGAGGGCCAGGCCAGGAGCAAAGCCGGGGTGAAACCTCTCTGCGTGTTTGCCTAGCAAGGCTGTGCCTGGCTCCGGGGCCACGGGTCGCTCTTTTCGGGGCCCCTAACCAGGCAGCCCCAGATCGCAGCTTCTGGGCCTGTTTTTTTAGTATCTCGTGGCCCCCGCTGAGTTTTTCGTGTGAGTGGCCCGGTTGCTTCTTTCTCTTGGCCGTCTTGGGTGCGATGGCACATTGGCGTCACGGCTAAGGAAGTCCGAGTCGCACTTGGCGTCTTCTGGTTCTGTGCCCACGTGAGGTTTCTTGGCCCGAGTGGGGGATCGCTGCCATCTGTGATGCCTGTGATCACAAAAACCTTTCTGTTCAGGGTTTCCAGAGAGGGTCCAATTGCCATCATTTTACCAGAAGAAACATAGTTTTGGCCACTCAGACTTAAAATTCCTTGCGATGGGTCCGGCACAGAATCAGAAACCAGCTTAAAAAAGACCCTTTTTACGGATTAGGGAGCTGGTGCCAAGCGGGTTTGAGGGGCTGTGACCCAGGAGAGAGGCGTGAAACCAGATCAGATCCAACCTTCCCATCTTAGTTCTCTTTCCGGATGTATTGGAGGGCTGGGGACGATGGGCTTTGTTGCCCAGCCTCTGAAAGGCACAGTTGGGGAAACGCGTTTTAGAAATAAAACTCATTTGCTCCTGTAGGATTTGAAAGACCCCAGTGCCAGTTCAGGTTGTTCAGCTGGTTGCCACGTGGCTCGTTCACGTCGTGAGCGGTTGTGGCTCCTTCTCTTCCCCGCAGTTGTGTACATCTGCTGCGCCCCCGACACCTTCCGCGAATTTATGCTCCACGCACACCACGAAGGGCTCACCGCAGGCGACTACGCCTTTTTCTACATCGACCTCTTTGGGATGAGCCTGCGGAGCTCCAAATTCCCCGACCGGACGCTTCCCTGGCGACGCGGAGACGGGAACGATGACGCGGCCCGCGAGGCTTACCAGGTGAGCGCTTGGCACAAACCTTCGGGGGTCTGCGTGCGTTTCCGATCAGAGCGTCGGTGCCAATGGCTGAGTTTTGAAATGAAAGTCTTGGCTCGGATTTGGAATGGGCTAACTAACTAACTAACTAACTAACTAACTAACTAACTAACTTACGGCATCGCTTCTCCTGCCCCCCCAGATGCCAGTTGGCAGGGGTCAGATAACAGGGGATTACGAAGTGCTGTTCCATGCCAACCGCCCGCTCTCCGTGTTGAGACACAGTTGGCGGTGATTTATCACCATGGTAAAAAAATCAACATTGGAGGGTAAAAATGATGTTGCAAAACGAGCATGCACAGAAAAGGCTCGAAGGGAAGAGTTTTAAACTCCGGTTAAAGTCGGTTCGGCCCATTGAATTAAGCTGTTTGGGGAAATTTGCACAATACACTGCATGACTGGGTGTGTATCCCATGCCAAATCTCTCTCTCTCTCACGCACACACACACAAACACACACCCTATACAAAAACTGGCCAAGGTTAAAATTAACCACGCAGGCCAATTCACTAGCCCTTTTGCAGCTTTGGTTAGAAATGTCTGAATGTTTTTCATTTTGGATGTCTGGGTGGGAGCCAGCTGGTTGCTCTCAGCCTGGCACTGCCCTGCTCAGCGTCAGGCAGACATTCAACAGGGAGGGGGGGTTGTGGCCCAGAAGGGTCTGCATCCAAGTGCCTTGAATGTGAAAAGGTTGAGCAGGTATTAGGGGACGGGGGAGCTGAGAAACGGGGAAGGCTCGCCAGGGGCGCAGATGGCACAGGGGGCAGAGATGGTGGCGGCCTGGAGCAAGTGGCATTTGGCCAGCTTCTTAGCAAAGGGGCCAAACTGGGCCAGGAGGCAACAATGGAGCCTTTATCCTGGCTTGGCAGTTGAGTTGGCAGCCAGGTTGAGCATTGTCTCCTTTGTATCAGCCAGGATCGCCTGTTGGCAGTTTACCTTTCTAAAACTCCTGTTGGATTTCTACTCCTATTCCCCCCCCACCAGCTTGGTTGAGGATGATGGGTCCTGTAGTTACTCCATCAGGAAGGGACCCCACCCTTTCATGTTTGGTTGGCCCCCCCAGGGAACTCCAAAGGGAGCGTATATAAATTATGTAACAGTTGACATAACCATACTGTGAGGTAACTTTTTCAGACTGTGTTGAAGTTTTTGTTCTTGAGGGCTAGAAGCTTG